TCAGGACACCTTCAACCAGACCAGGCAGCTCCAACTTCAACATTTCCATCTCTATTTTCCACTCTACACTCTGTTATGGGATGATTTCACGACCTGGATGCAGCACTGACATGCACAGGGTAATCACTGGGTATTTAACATGGTTACAGAATTTAAACACGTTTTGGCAGAGGTCTTTTCCAGTCCTGTGCCAATTCCCATCCCCAGTTTCAGTGCCAGTCCCTCTTGTTGGGAACATTTAGCTGCCTGCAAACCAAGGTCCTGGTGGAACTGCAACTTGCTGAGCTCCCAGGGAATAATTCTGCAGAGCAGAGGTGCCACATTAAAATAAAAATAATAATTAAGGCCCTGTTAAAGCTGAATTTAAAGGAGGAGATTTCTCCTTGTTCTAAGGGTTTCATTTGATAGAGGAAAGCATCTGAAAGTGCCTCCATGGTTGATGGGGAGCTGTTCCCTCCTCAGGAGGAAACACAATCCAAATCCCTCCATCCTCTGCTCTTCTGAGAGGTTCCTCTCATTTTAATCTTAAAAACAAAACTCTAAATCCAGAGTTTCCTAGGAAGTTCTCCTAATTAAGATTTCATGAACAGTTTGCACACACACGAACCCAGAACTGAGACAAGCCGGGCCTGGATCACAAGGAAATGGAAGGATAAAAACAAAGGAGGTTCAAATTTCCTTCAAAAAAAAAAAGTCCAGCTTCCACCCCCCCACCCCCTCCTCCCTTTCCCTGGGTTCAGCTGCAGCAAGGTGAAAGGCTAAATGTGGACAGAATGGGAATATGTAAGTGGTTTCTAAGCTTTCTGCTGGGAATATTTAACAGCATAAGCACGTTTCCCCTGGAGACCTTCCCCACCATTTGGTCCAATTTCTTCCTCCAAGAACTGAACCAAGCCATGATGTAATGCCCCAGGGAGAACATTCCTCTCGAAAAAGAGTATCTTCCGAGGGAGAAGTTTGCAGAAAACATCTTAATATTGTTTAAACAGCTTTTGGCACAGGCACGGCCGGTTGTGCTGCGCTCGGGGGCCGAGAGCAGAAGGAAGGCTAAAAAACGTGGAAAGGGAAAGTTTGGGGATTTAGGTTAAGGCTTCTCCTCGACTGTCACCCTCAGTCCTCAGTGATTCTTGTGGAATGAGGGGAAAACAACGACAATAAAAAGGCATTTTCAGAAGCAGAGATTTGCTGGACAAGAGGAGGCTGCCCTGGGGAGACAGAAGCAAGATAAGCAGGACCAGGAGGCAGCACATTCCAGATCCAAGGTGGTGGAGCAGAGGGATGCAGGGAATCCCAGCACGGTCCAACCAAGCTGTGCCCCAAACCCCAACTATCAAATGAACATTTAAGGATCATATTCCAGAGCTTGGATTATGTCATGCCCAGCACTGATATAATCTCCATTTGCACTACCTATTCCTTAGATAAACTTTAAGCTTTCCTTGCAAAACACACCCTGGCACTTAAGGGTTTGTTTTTTTTTTTAATATATATTTTTCTTGAGAGTTAAATGACCTTTTTTTTTTTTTTTAAATCATCATTAATATTTGTACCCACGCAATTATTCCTTCCTCAACAGCACACACGAGGCCCCCTCAGCAGCTCCAAGGTGAATTCCCTCCCAGCCTTAATAGATTTGCAGGAGTGGGGATGATTGTGAGGAACAAAAGCTTCGTTGGAGTCGCTTTTTTTTTTTTTTTAATCCTTGGCTGTTCGAATTCCCAGAGGGGGCTCTGGGCACGAGGACTCCACTGGAAGTTGTTGCTCTTATTAATAACTAATATTATCACAAAGCTGCTATAAAACATGTTGCTCAACACGAAATGTCTTGTCTGAAGAGCCCTTGGCCACGTTCAAACCCAGCATAAACCTGCACCATAAAGAGGATATTTAAAGCCAGGATATTTAAGGCCAGTCCACTGCAGGCTCCTGTCACAGCTTTTACTGCTCATTTCTCGGGCCTGGAGGTTTTTCGGTTTCTTGGTAGACCCTAAACTTTTAAAGCCCCGAATCACAACTATTTATCACCCATCAGGGAGCTCCATAAAATGTATTTTTCCTTCAGAATGACTGTTCTCATAAAACAAAAAAAATAATAATCTAAAGGAAAAAAAAAGACAATTAAGAACACTTTTAAAAAATCTCCGTTATAGCCCCACTTACGGGGATCCTTAAAACTTAAAAAGTATGACCCCCTACAAATTAATGCCACCTGCAAGCTGTAAATATATGCATTATTCCATTTTTTTATTTAATTTTTTTTTTTTCTCTCCCCCCCCCTCCTCAAAGTATTTTCTTTGGCCGTTCCACTCAGCCGAAGGAGGCCTTAAAAAAATTGTCAAACCGAATTCTTGCTGAAGAGGGGGGGAGAGCTCTGAGCTCTCTGCCAGTTGGAGCGAAACACCCAGCCAGGTTTGGGGAATAACTCTGTATTTATCTTGGCCCGAGGTGCAGGGGGTGGGGGGGGCGGGTGGGGGGAGAACATTTTTCCAGCCCCCCTTTTCCGAAGGCCAGTCAAAAAAAAAAAGGGGGTTTGAAATATTGCACAATAAAAGCCATTCATTATATCTGTCTCCTCTGCCTTCCAAAAACAAGGAGGGCTGACCAGTTCCAAATCCGTGCAGGGGGCAGGAAGATGGGAGTCAAAGGGGTCACTGGAAAGAACCCAAGACCAACACCAGGTTTTTTCAGGTTGGAGGCAGGGAATGTGTTCCATGCCCTCATTCCCGGCTCACACAGGTTTTTTTCTTCTCCCCCCATCCCCACCAGCACCCCTCCAAAGCCTGGTTCAAGTCGTTAATTGCTCTTGTTCTGCACAATTTACGGGGCTTAATTACAAAACTAATACATTAGGCTGCTTGTCTGCAAGTCACAGCCCCAGCTCCAGCTTCTCTGCTGGGACACGGGGCAGTCAGAGCTGATTTCCAGCTCAAACCTCTGGATTTGCAGCTTTTCCCCTCCTTTCCAAGCCCTGCAGTTGGAAGGAATATCCCCCCTGCACAGTTTGGTTCGTGTTTCCAGTGCTCACCTCCCCTCGTTTCTCGAGCCTGGATTTGAGCTGCCCTTTCACTACTTGGATTTTTATCTCCTCATTTTAAACCACTGCAATCTGCAGTTGGGTTTGTATTTATTTCCAGTGCTCACCTGCCTGTTGAAAAGGGTATTTCTTTCCCCTGCCCACTCTCCTGCTCCTTGTGTTTAAACCATCCTTGAAATACTTGGATTTTTTCTGCTGCCTCCTGCATGGATCAGTCCACCATTCCCAGGAATATCCGTGTGAGGATTCCCAGTGGGGAGGAGGAAGGGCAGAGCACAAACCTCGCAGTGCATTTTCAACCAACAACTGGACCAGATGAACCCCCAATGACGAGATTCAGAGGCAACACTCAGGTGTCTCAGCATCTCCTTCTGCTGCTCAGTTAGAAGCAAGTAGAGAAAAATAATTTGGAATTCAGCAGCTTTTTTTTTTTTTTTTTTTTTTTTAAATTGGTTGTTTTAAAGTGAAATAAATCAAAAGGCATCCACAGCCCTTGTTATTTTTTCCCCCCTGGTTACCACGTCGGGATGAGAAAACTTTCACTTCTGTTAACTCATGGGGGAGAAACTTGGTCATCTCATCTCCATTTCCATAACCCAGCGACAGCAAAATATTGGCACGAAGCAATTCCTGGGAAGCATTAACGCTTTCCCTGCAAAACTTCCTGAAGGATTCAAGGCCAAAAGTTTGTTCTTTGCACCTCGAGCTCACTGAAGTCAAGGGAAGTGAAGCAGAGACCTCTTCAGCAAGGAGCAAAACTGATGTGGGATTACTGCTACTTATTAACAACATCATAATTACAGTGTTTGTAGGACCCACCACTTGTCCTGTCTGTCAGTCAGAGCAGGTAATTAGTGGGATAAATGCAATTATTCACCAATATCCACCCAGCGCTGCTCTTACTGGGCTCAAAGTCAGCACTTCAGTGTTAAAAAACACAAAGTCATCTTTCTAACAACCCTCTGACGAGAGAACATTCTCCCTCTGGAAGAGTGAAGAGATGGGCAATGCCAGGGATTTTTATTCCCACCTCTGGGAAACAACTGCAACCTCACCAGTTGCTGCAGCTCTTACCTCACATCAAGCATCCACAACCCTTTTCCAGGAGAAGAACCCAAGCTTTGTTTTCTCCTCCCCAGAAAAGCCCTCTCTTATTTTAGCACGTAATCATTCCACTTCTCCTGATGAATTCCGTGGCTCAGCTGCTGGTTTGCCTTTTTTTTTTTTTTTTGGTGAAAGTCAGAAGTAGCAGCTCTTACTAATTGACTCATTTTTTTTTTTTTTTTAAGCTTCAGATTTTAATGGTTTGTTTGGCCACTCTGATATTATTTCCCAGCTCCCTCCCAAGCACAAAGCTCGTGTCAGCCTGCCCTCTCCTGGCAGCAGCAACAGCAGCCAGCCCAAAAACTGCTCCCAAAATCTAAACCCAGAAGCAAATCCCAGCATAAAAACATCCAGCAAATTGCTTTGGGAAGGATTTAAGACCCATAGATGTGGCACTTCGGGGACGGCGATCTTAAAGCTCTTTTCCAACCTCAAGGGTTCTACAACTCAAACAACGTTTAAGTGGCAAAGTTTCTTTCAAGCTGCCTGAGGAGTTCTTGTCCTGGGAGGAACAGGAATAAAAATCCAACTGCTCTTGTTTGCTTTTAAGCCCTATAAAAGCAGCCAAGTACATAAAGCATTTTGTTCCACATCACTAACGATGAAAACCAAGGGGTGGTGTTCCACAGAAAAGCCACTTCCTCCAGGCTGGCACAGGGATTCCTCCTTTCTCATTTGCAGGAAATGTCAAGAGGGCTTTGAAGTGTATTTTTGAAATCTAGAATAAAACTTCAACACAGATTTCAACAGCACTTTAAAAGGAATGATCAAGCACATGGGAAGCAAACACTTCAAGCAGCTGTAGCTGCAAGGCCACACAATTTACACTGTGATTTAACCACTAAACACAACTCCACATTCATCATGAGTGAAGAATTTTTTTATTCTCTTGATTACCTGCCACAGCTGTACCAGACCAACCCCCTGAGCCAAGCAGGCCTTCCCCACAGGTCTGACCTTTAAGCATTGGAGGCATCAAGACAAGGAAAATTAGCTCTAAGGTATGCAGAAAATTAATAAGGAACTAAAAGTGGAAGAGAGGAGAAAACAGCACTTGAGAGAGAATGTAAAACTCTGATACTGATCTTCAGGAAATCAGAGAGAGATAAAACCTCGCTGAGTGTCACCTCAAGAGGAATTTCTGCTTCCTCAGAGCGTTTTGTGCTATTTCTGTCCCTCTTATTTACAGGATTTGTGATTCTCCTCTGCTGGGTTTGAGCTCAAGATGTTTCTGGAGGAGGTGTGGGTGCACTTTTCCTCCTCCCCCTTCTGCCAGAACCCTCAGCACGACGAGCAGAGTCCTCGTTCTCCTTCCCCAGGGCCGACAGCGGGCTGGGCTCCCGCTCTGCGGGGTGAACATTCCCAAATCCCTCCTGGCTGGACGTGCTGAGTCTCCTCCTGGATCTGGGAGCAGCAGCTGGCAGGGGAGGCTCCTTTGGGATGTCTCTGGGGAGCTGAATCCACACCAGGCCCTCCCTCCCTGCCTCTCTGCTCAGCCTCGTGCTGCGCCTCACTCTGGTGTCCCCGCTGGTGCCGCTCCTCCTCTGGGAAGGCTGGAAGGGAACTCTGGGAACAGACAAAACTTCCTCCACGTTATAGGATGAGACTGGGAGGTCAGTCCCAGTTATTTCCAAGTTTTCAACAGGAGGAAAGTAGATGGCACTGCTGCTTCTTCTTCCTCTTCTTCTTGCTGGGCTGCCACTTAGAGAAGCTGTCTGAGGGCACTGAGTTCTGTGGGCACCCTCGTGGACATCAGTGGGCTGTTGTTCCAGAAATTCCAGGAGATTTCCCTGGAGCTGCTCATTTTCTCTCAAGGAACTACTCTCTTCTGCTTCATTTTCACATGCAGCCTCTTCACCTTGCTGGAAATCCTCAGCTGTGTCAAAACCACCCTCTGCATCTGGCACACCGTTTGGAAGCTGGGGGGATAAAAATAATAATTCTTCATTTTTTTTTTTTTAGATACAAGCAAAAGGTGATCCACAAAAATCTGAAGGCCTTGCTCAGTGGAGCTGTAAATACTCCTGACCTCTCCCAAGGCTGGAGATCCCGTGGCCTCTCCAGGCAGGCTGTTCCAATCCCTCTTTTTCCCTCCCAAATATGACTTTTCCTGATCCTTAAACAGCCCAGTTACCTCCTGAGCAGAGCCACAAGCGGCCTCCAGGCCAGCCTGGGACACCTGGAAGGTGCCATCCCTGGATGAGGCCATGTCCAGGTGCCAGGAGCTTGGATTCACATCAGCTGCAGGGATGATGATCTCCCCTCCCAGCCCTTCCACCACTGCCTGCTCCTGGCCAGCCTTGCCAGCATTCCAGGATTCGGGATTAACTGCAACTGCACCACCTGAATTAGAACACACACACAGGTGGTTAATTAAGTCTGGGGATGCACAAAATCTCTTTTAATTATTACAGCAAAAAGCTTCGTGGTGTTTTACTTATATAAAATTAACCTTCTAAACAACCATTCCAGAGAAAAAGCGGGAAAAAAAAAACCACAGAAAGCTCTGCACATCCCTTAACTCTTCATGCTCAACTCACTGGGAAAATATCAGTGCCCAGACAAAGAAAAGAGGTGTTTTTTTGTCAGGAGTTAAATTTATCCAGTTGGACATTATTAATTATTAGAACCTCCAGACTCTACTGTTACAGGAGCAATTAAATAAGAAAATATAATCCTGGGCTCGTTACTGATGCACAAAGATAACCAGGAACAGCTTTTTATGGAATAAAAAAAAAAAATGAGAAGGAACAGAAAGAGCAAAGCAAGACAAAACTAAAAACCGAATTACCTGAAAAAAGCCCCTGTGCCTTTGGTGAGTCTGGGGACGAGCCAGAAGAGAAAACCTCTGGGATTTCAGGGATAGGGCTGAGGAGGGGTTTCTTAGAAGCCATCTCTCTCTCCCCATATAAAGGTTTTTTGGCTTTTCTCTTTCTTCTTTTGCCAAAGCTTGTCTGTCTTGTCCTCTGAAAAGATTGAGAAGTGACACCGCTGCTGGATTTTGATGGGATGACAATAGTTTCCCCTAAAAAAAAGGAAGGTTCCCCCTCTCCTTCTACCACCTGAAAACTCAAAGGATTTCTTTTCAAACACGAGGCCTGGTTTTTGGTTCAAGCAAAGCTCTGAAAATTGCAGTTTCTTCACTAAAAGGCAGGAATCAGCAGTTGCCACTCACCTGGGTCTTTCTGGGAGCAGAGGTGGGTGGGTTCTTCTGTCTCTGGGTCTTGTTCCTCCTGGGATTTTCCCTGTTTTCAGCACTCCTGGTGCTGGAGGCTCCTGAGGGGCTGCAATCAGCCTGCCCTGACTCGGCTCTCAGCTGTTGGGGATGGGGAGTTTGAGGGGGATTTTACAAAACAACATCAGAATCAAACTGCAAATTCATTTATGGGGCCATAAAAGGTAGAGGCAAGTGGAAATGAAATATCACAACTTGTCTTCGCTCAGTAAGGAGAGCCCTATTTGGGCAAAAAGGGCATTCTAATGAAAAACATAATTCTGCCTGAAGAAGTTAAAAAAACAGCTAAAAAATCATCTTACCTTCCTTTTAGCAGAAGAACAAGTTTTTACCGTGTTGGGCTTGTCAGTTGGTGCTGTGATATATGAAAAAAAAAATGAATTTTGATTCAATTTCAAAGCCAAAGTTGATTTTTTTATCCCCATCATTTCTAATATTATTCACTTGAAACACCTTTGTCTTGAGGAGCAACTTACTGAGGATTATCAAACATGGCAAGATAAAAAAAAAATAACACCTTGCTTTATAAAATAAAGGAGAACTAAACCTGGGTTTGCTAAGAAATAATTAGCACAGATTAATAATACACAGCTTCAATAAATGCATGTGCACAACCCACTTTCAATTCCTTTATTGTTGGCTTGATGTTGAAAATCCTCAAAATTACAATATCAGAATCAAGATTGTAAATCCAATTTAAGCCTGACTAGATCAGGCACCTCCAGAGAAAACACAAGGTTAAAAAACAACCTAAAACCACAGGTAAAAACTGCAGCTTTAGAAGAAAGCATTTAAATTTTAGCACAACCCAAATAAATCCTCTGCATAAAAAAAAAAAAAAAAACCAGCCAAAAAAAAAAAACCAAACCAAAAAAAAACCCTCAACTCTCAATTTTCAGGTACAAAATCATTACCTACAGCCAAAAATAGAAGTTACCTTCTGCATTTTCAACAGGGGAAGGGTCTTCTGCAGCAAAAGAAGCCTCCAGGAAGTGCTGGGGAGGCTCAACACATTCCTTTAAACCAAAAAAAAAAAGAATTACATTATTTAGCAATAAATATGCCAGAAAATGACATTTTTAAGCAATAAATTATAGCAGAGAGGTACTGAAAAATACCCTCGTCCCTCAGTGTTTGGAACAGCCAAGTGGATTTATTATTTTTTTTTTTTCTTAAAAGAATGCACCAGATCATTCACTGCACGTGGCAAAAAGAGACACAGCACCAGAAGAGGAGAAAAAGCCAAGGCAAAAGCACTTCATGTGCCACCAGAACCCACCTTCAAACTGCTTTACAGGCCAAGGTGCTGGTCAGAATTCAAAAAGCAAAAAAAAAAAATCAAGCTGAATAAAGCAGACTCAGATTTAGTATTGCAGCAATTTCTTTTCAAAACCAAGCTGGGGGCAGGGGGGATGAAACACAAAGTGACCATTCCCAGAGAGCAGGGGCTGTTTTTTTAAAGAACTCACATCATCACAATCAAAATGCAGCCTGGGGGGAGGTTGTGCAGTTAAGCCTGGCCTTGGAGCAGGGCTGGAGCTCAGGCCTGGGGAGGCTCCTCTGCGCAGGGGGGTGTTTGCAGGCAGCGTCTGGTCAAAGATTTCGGGGCTCAGAACTTCCCCAAAAGTGACTTTTTTCTTCCTTGGAGTCCTGAAGTCCAGACTGTCGGTGTTGTCTGTTGGAATAAAACAAAGGAGCAGTTTAAGGGGATGTGCAGCTGTGCCAGAGTGGGCTTTTCATAGGGCTGAATATTCAAAATACGCCTGTGAAATCATCCACAATTTTCAGTGGAGCTTTATTACAGAATAAAGAATTGAGGGAGGAACCAGAAGATTAGGAAGGACCAGCTGTTCCACAGGTTTCAGTTGACAAGTGTAAAATTCCTTGAAAAAAAAATCAGGGACTCTGCTCTGAGAGTCTTCCTAAAGTTTTGGGGTTCAGTGACTCTGCAATTTTGGGGGTGGGATTAATTTTAGAAGATTTGATTTAGTGCTACTTTATTTTATTTAGGAGGGTTGATTTTATTTTATTTTCCTTGGTAATCTGATTTTCCAGGTCATGCAGTGGGAGGCCACACAGGAGCTAACTCAGTGGAGGTTTAATGCCCATCATCATCCAGAGGTAGCAAAGAGGCCAAACTTTGTGATCCCAGATGATACTCTGCCTATTTAAAAAACAAAATGGGATTCTTTTTTGTTTAAAAAAATGGGAATCTGACCTGTGTCTGATGCTTCAAAGGTTTTTTCACAGTAGGAGACTGGGACAGATTCATCTCTGCCAACTGCATCGTTCAAGTATTCCTGTCAAATTCAAATGGTACAAGTCAATACTATTTAATTATCAAATATCAAATTTAATTAAAATATCCTTCTCAAAAGTGAAGAGGAGTTTTCCTGTGAGCACCACCAAACCAACCTTGGGGCTGTCCAGGAGTTGCCTCGTTGGGGTTTTCTTCAGGATGGACCTCAGGGAGCCGCTCTGGGTGAGGTCACTGAAGGGAGCAGTCCCTGTTCCCTGGGGGGTGGCAGGTGGGGTGACGAGGGCTTTGCTGTCCTCAAACACCCCCAGGCTCAGCCCTTCCACAAAGCCAACCTTCCTTCTGCTCAGATCTGAGGCGACAGCGCTTGTGGTGTCAGCAGGGGTGTGCTCAGACCTGAAAACTTTGGGGGCAAGGGGACAGGTGTGAGGTGAAACATTTCCTGACAAATATTCCAGATCTGAATGCTGATGGATCCTCTTACCGTGGCCTCTTTCCAAGGTGTCTCCAACTGCAACAGTCTCCAAGGACTCGGGAGGGTTTTTTTGCCCATAAACCCATTCCTAGAGAAAAATTTCAAGATTTTATATATATATTTATATATATGTATCAATATATATCATCAATTTATAGAGACACCAACACGTGGTAAAGAAATAAAAAGCGACCTGAAAATGCTGCCTCTTAAAATAGCACAAACTGCGGAGTTTTTTAATCCCACAGACAAAAGATTTCAGAGTTTTCTCAATCAGCCACCACTTTAGTTGGATTTATTTTCCCCAAAAACTAAATGCCTAAAAGGATTAGACAGCACAAATGAAAACACAAGGCATGAAAAAGCTTTTAATCACTAAATCAGAAGTTTCCTCCTCATTCTGAGTACCTTTGGAGCAGCAGGTTGAGTCACAGCTGGGTTTGGGGACAAGATGCTGCAGATCCAGGGGTCAGATTTGCTGTTCACGGTCACATTTTCCCTGCAGTTCTCCTTCAAATCAGCTCCACTGTTGTCCCACATGAACTTTTCACTCCACTGCTCCAGGTCTGGGTCCTTTTTAAGAGGCACTTTGTTCTGAGCTGCATCAGTGAAGAACAAAACAAAACCCACAAAGAAACCACAAGGACAAACATCAGTTTTTTTCAGTGAATTCTGGTTTTATGTTTCTTCACCAAGAGAGATGCAAAAAGCCAGGTAATGTTTGAGGTAGGGAAAAGGAAACACATGGATTTTTTTTTAGATCTACTTTGAAAATAACATTACCAACCCTCCAAAACCACCCATGCCAAGCCTTACAAAGGAAGATTATTTTGGTTTAGATGAAGTATTTTTAGTTTCTTACTTTTCAGCCTAAAGGAAGGCCTGATGTTTGAGGCAAAGCACTGACCAGAATATGAAATCAACTTACAAGAGCCTCCTTCCTGAGAATCCTCCCCATGGGACAGCCCAGTTTCCCCTTCAGCTTCTTGGAGGGATTCAAAAGATGTTTGGAAGGTTTCAATCTTGTCCTTCAACGCCCTGACATTTGCATGTTTAAAAGGACTAATCTGCCAAAACAAAAATTAACCTCATCAGACTCTGGGATGGTTCAAGTTAACAAGAAGTCTGATTAAACTTGTGCTCATATTGACTTCACTTGCAACACTTTAATTACCCAAAAATCAAACCTGGCAAATACAGGAAAGTAAGAGAAGTTAAAATTCATGAGCAGGCTCGACATGGAGAAGATTCCAGGCTGGAACATCATCCCCTCATCCTAAAGCCAAGTGTCCATGGAAAGTCAGCAAACTCAGGTGGTGCCTTGGGATGGATTCCCCCCAGGACTTGCCTCATCCCTTTGGGTTCCTGGGGAGAACTGAACTAATATTTGGGCAGGACTCTCACCTGGGTAAAAGCTTCTTTTTGCCTCCTGCTCCTCTGCTGGGCCAGGTACCGGATCAGGGTGTTGTTTTCGGGGGAGCCCCTCAGGCCAATGGTCGATCTGCGCCTCATTTTTAACGAAGCTGGAGAATTCCCTGCCAAGGGGGCAAGAACAGAGCTTAAAAAAAAAAACAACAATAAGAACAAAACCAGAGGAAGACAGGCTTTTTTTAATACCTACACCTTCAAAATGCCTTTTTTTTTTTTTTAACTTTTTAAAGAGTGGTCTCTGCTATTTATGGAAAGACCCAAAGTTATCTTGCTCAGCTCAAGAAGTTTTCCTGAAGCAAGTTAATATTTAACTGATTGATATCCCAAGTGAGGAGCTGGCTGGCTTTTAGTTTTTTTTAATTGCTAGTTAAGGAACTGTCCACAGGATTGTCAGAATTTGACTTAGAACTTCCTTGTGAAGCTCAGAGATAAGTAGGGAATGTTTAATTGTGTGGGATAGAGGCGAAATCCTAGTTAAATGTGGTATTTATCTTGCATATAAGATATCCTATATATTACATTGGATGTGTGTATGCACATGTGATATATAGAAATATGTAAGTATACCAATAAATGTGATATATATATATAAAATATAGGATGTTAGAGCAACTTCCTCTCAGAGTCTGCTCCTTGGGCATATCCAAACCCAGTCAGAGCAGCTGAATCTGCCCTAAATTGGAGTTTTTGGGAAGAGCTTGGAGGAGGTGACCTCTGGGAAGGACAGGAGTGCTTCCTCACTGCAGCCTCACCTTTACAGCGTTCAGTGAAGCTCTCTGGAGCAATCCCAAACTCAGCAATTGTCACAGCAGCAAAATCAACGGGTCTTCCCCTCTGTCCTTCAGACAGCCCAAAATCACCTTTCCCTTCAGCTTTGCCCCTCGCAGGAGTCGAGTGGGCATCGCTGCCCAAGGAACCAGCCCTGCTGCCCGGAAACTCCTCCTGCCTGTGCCCAGGCAAGGTGGGATCAGTGCCCACTTCCCCACAACAGCCCCCCGGGAAGTGGCAGCTCCCAAAACCCCCCTCGGGGTGGGGCAATTCCTGCCCGAGGCCTCGGGGGGACTTCAGGGCGCGTTTTGGTGGCCACACCGGGTTCCCATCGCTCAAATTCTCCTTCCTGGACGCTCTGATGACTCGGAATTTAGTCCTTTTGCAGCTCTTCTGGTCTTTTGGCAGAGGGAGAGAGGCCTCATCTTTCTCTTCAGGACAACCACTCTCGTTTTCTTTGACTTTCAGGGGGCTCTTGGATTGTCTGTGCATTGTTTGGGATTTATTTTAAGAAACATTCACTCAGCCTTTGCTGCTGTAATCACAGATTCCTATCAAAAAGAAAAAAAAAAAACCAGATTATTATAGTTATTTTCCCTGCCGTGCTCTAGCTGGTCCCAAACCCACATTTTTTCCCCCAACAAGGTGTTTTTTCCACCAAGGTGTGGTGGAAAGGGAAATTTATCTCCAGAAAGCTACAGGGAAAAGACACAAGGGGCTGGAAGTGGAAAGAGGAATGCACAGGATTATAAGCAGTATAATAAACATAATACAAGCAATGTAACAAACATAATATAAACAACAATTACAAGCAATAATTATAAACAAACACGGGGAAGGGAACACAAGGCTACGACTTCAAGCTGTCAAACTTCATACCAGGATAAAATATGTGCACAAAATACATTAATCACAACCACACCGTGAGCGTTTTGCTCCAAGTGTTACAACAAACATCAGCAGTTTAAAAGTACTTTTTATAACACTCATTAGTACCAGCAGACAGAGAGAAGACAAGTCTTAGGAAGAAACCAGCAGAAAGGACAACACCAATAATACTTAAAAAAAACACCCCAAAACCAAACACACTGAGTTTTAACCAGAAAACTTTAGAGGTGAACTGGTTTGTCTTGGGGTTTTTTGTGGGATTTTTTTTTTTGCCGTTAGTTAGTTGGATTTGAAGTCGACGATGTAGAATCCTGCCTGTACCCCCCCCCCATCCCCTCAGGGCTCGCCCCTCGTACCCCCCTCAGCACATTCATCCCACCTCCCCCCCGGCGCCGCTCGCAGCCCCTCAGACTCCCCGCGATTCCTCCATGCCGCCTCCCCAGCGCTCCCCAGGCCGCAGGACGACCCCCCCAAGCCCCTCAGGGACCATGACAGACCCCCCTACACACAAACCCACCCGCGCCATCCCCGCGCCCCTCACGAAGCCGCCTCACCCCGTCCCGCCTCGCGTTCAAACCGGGCCGCGCCACCGCGTATCCCTCCGCGCCCCCGCCCCCCTGACTCCCACCAAAAAGCCACCCCCCGCTTCACGCAGCCCCGCAGGGATCGCGGCTGGCGGGACGCGACCCCCCACATCTCCTCCACACCGGGGCGGTCCGCAGGGCTCGGCGTGGACCGCGGAGGGGGGAGGAACTCTTTGGCTGGCGGAGGCATCACGGTCCGTTGAGCCGCAGGGCCGCTTGGAGGCGGGGGGGAAAAAATACCGAATTCAACCCATTCATTCAACGGGCCGCGCCCACGTGACCGCACGGCGGCCAATCACAGCCGCTAAACTTCGCTTTATGCAAATAATGCCGCTTTGTCCCGCCTCTCGCTGCGCTGATTGGGCGGACACTCTCGCAGCCCGGCGGCGATTGGCCGAGGGCGGCGTCAGTCACCGCGCGGCGCTTCCGGGTTGTGCGGCGGCCGCAGCATGAGGCGGGTGACGCTGTTCGTGAACGGCAGCGCCCGCAACGGCAAGGTCAGGCCTGAGGGGCGGCACGGAGGGGGTCCTGGGGGAAAAAATGAGGAGTTTCAGGCGGGAGGAGGTGTTAGGGACGCTCCTGGTCCTCAATGAGTCGCGGCCTGTCGGTGGCAGCCCGCGGGAGCAGCGCTTTGGGGATGGGGGTGACCCCGGGAATAACGGCATTAAATGGTTTAAAATCTCTCTGTGGTTCTCTCAGAGGGTGGAAAAGGTTGATTTGTGGCCCGGTGGTGCAGTTCTAAATATATAAGCCGCGATCTCGATGTCTCCACTCGCGCTCTGGGCGCAGAGGTTGATGTGACTGCACTTTAATGCTATATTAAATGTTAAATGTTGTCCATAATCCTGATTTCCCCATCCACAGACGGTTGATGTGACTCTTCTTTACTCCTGTATTTCCGATTTTTCCATCCACACCCCGAGTGCAGAAGTCTCTGTGACTGTGTTTGAACCTTGCAGTTCGAAATGTTTATCCATGATCCCGATTTTTCCATCCACGGGTCTGGACTAAAACAGTGGATATGACTGTTACTCTAGTGGTGTATTTCTGTTAAATGCTATCCATGACCCCGATTTTCCCATCCACAGCTATTTAGGGGAGGAAAAAACTGGATCATCATCTTCTTACTCAGCATTCCTTTCACTGCTGCTGTTGAGTTTTGGGAGTTGTGCAAGTCACCCCATTTTTTAGGCAGTTTTCTCCCACGAAAGTGTGTCTGTTTGTTTGGTTTTGGGTCAAAATCCACATGGATTTTCCTCTCCCTCTAAGATATATTGGTGTATAGCATATATTGGTGTATAACATGTATTGATATATAAGATACATTAAAATATATTGAGATATAAGATATACCTCAATATAAGGTATACTGAGATATAAGATATACTGGTATATAAGATATATTAAAATCTATTGGTATATAAAATCTGTTTGCATATAAGATATATTAAAATCTATTGGTATATAAAATCTGTTTGTTTATAAGATATATAAAAATCTATTGGTATATAAAATCTATTGGTATATAAGATATATTAAAATCTATTGGTATATAAAATCTGGTATATAAGGTATATTGGTATGTAAGATATATTAATATATAAGAGATGTTTGTAAATAAGAAATATTGGTATATAAGATATATTAATATGTAAGAGATGTTGGTAAATAAGAGATACTGATATATAAGATATATTGGTATATGAGACATATTGATCTATGTGATCTATTGATCTATAAGGTATATTTATATATATAAGATATATTGATATATAAGCCATCTTGCTATCCCTGGTGGGTGTGAGGTGGCAGAACTACCTGAGCCCAGTTTCCTGCCTTTTAAAATCCCATTTTCTGGATTTTATTCCCCCCCTCCAGGTCGTGGCTGTGTATGGGACCCTCTCAGATTTGCTCTCTGTGGCCAGTAACAAGCTTGGAATAAAAGCCACCAGTGTTTACAACGGCAAAGGGGGACTCATTGATGACATTGCTTTGATTAGGTAAGGATTAGCCAATTAAAGGCAAATCAGGGGGGGTGGATTAAGAGACCAGCCTGTTAATCCCCCTTAATCAATAACCAGATATTCTTCATTTCCAGCCTGGTTGCCCAAAGGGCCTTTCATCCTTCCAGAAAAAAAGATAATCCTGGCTTTTGAACTTCAGAGCATTTCTCTGTTGATTAATCAGAAGTTGATCCAAAGTGGATTTGAGGCCTTTTAACCAGGGCAATGTGTTTACCATTCCATTCAGCCCTGGGATGGGGATTTTTGTGGAGAGGGAACAAGTTCTGTCATTGCTTTGGCATCACAGAATAGCCCCAGACTGGGCAGAAAAGCAACTATTTAGTAAAAATCAGTTGAGGAGCAGAAATGGGCCCTACTTGGAGGCTGCAGATGAACCCCTAGTGAAGTCAAGTCTGTCCCAATCCACTGGAACCTGCAAAATTCAGATAAAAACCAGATACTAAAGTTCCACTGGTTGGAATTCACCTGAAAGTGGACAAGAAATTATGATTAATCTTCTTTTTCTCCTCCTGTCCCCCCTGCCCTCTCCTCTCCTCTCCTCTCTCAGGGATGATGATGTTCTGTTTGTCTGTGAAGGGGAGCCCTTCATTGGTAAGTCTGTAACTCTATATTTGTATATAAAATAAAGAAAAAAATATATAACCCCTTGTGTTTAATAGAAAGAGGTTTTATTTTGCTTCCATATAAATCCAAGATTGTATTTGCTGGTGTTTCCAGAAGACACCATAGGGAATGAATTAATTAAGAAATAGCCACATTTTTTCTAATGACTACTAATGCGTCATAATAACTCATTATAAACATATCATATGAATGTGATATTAATTCTATAACTATATATTATTTATTATTATAAAAATTAGTATAAATAAAGAACTCCTAAGGTGTCTTTTAACCTGTAGATCCTCAGACTGATGGGAGAGCTCAGGAGGAGCTGACAGGGTCCCACACAGACTGGCTGACACTCAATGTGGGGGGCAGATACTTCACCACCACAAGGTAAAAATGCTTTTAGTCTCAAAAAAAAAAAAAAAACCCAAACAACCTTGATTTTAGTGCAGCAAAAGAGCTTGAGAAATAACTTACTGTGAAGTGGGAGGTGTTTTGTGGTCACCTCCACAGTTCTGCAGGAAATCAGCTCTTGAACATTTTATATGTGTGATGTAAAAATAAAATTGCCCTGCTTTTGTCTTCCAGGAGCACTTTGGTTAACAAAGAACCTGACAGCATGTTGGCCCACATGTTTAAAGATAAAGGTGAGTACACTGGAATAAATTTTATTTCTTTTTAAGGGATAAATTAGCACAGGAGGCAAAAGGCACTGGCAAGCTGAGAATCTAAAATATCAAACCTGTATTAAAGTACCAAAGCAGGACGTGGCATTATTCTTTTAATAACTCCTTATTTCTCTGTTACCTATAGTTTATCATCTCACAGAGTGAAAACACGGCTCCCACCCACAGTTAGCGTTTTGGGTCCCTTTTGGTTTGCTTAATTTTAGGTTTTCACGTTGGTGTTGCTCGGGTTCGGTCAGGGGAGCCTTTGGGAGACAATCAGGCTCCAGCTTTAGCGCTGCTTTTATTCTTACCTATTTGAGAAAATATTTCAGTTCTTTAGAGTAGCAACAAGTTTCATTTTAAGGTGATTCCCCCCCCCCTCCTCCTCACCCCTCAACTCCTCTTTTCCTTCCTTTACAAAACACGTGGAATTTTGGTAATAAAACTCTGCAAGTGCAGCCAATGCTCTTCTGCTAATATATCAAATTTAATTCTCTGTAGTAATCTACCCAATTTAATGACACATATATATATATATGTTGTGGAAACAGATGCTTGGGGGAACAAGCAGGATCATAGAGGAGCATTCCTAATTGACCGCAGTCCCGAGTATTTTGAGCCCATTTTGAACTATTTACGTCACGGACAGCTCATTGTAAATGATGGCATTAATTTGCTAGGTAGGTATTACCTGTCTGACCTCTGAATTATGCCTCTTTGGGAGTTAAGCTTTGCCCTCCAGGTGAAGCCAGAGGGACCTTTGTGTGCTCATCTCCGTGGTTTTCTTTGGAGTTTTTATTTCCTCGGGATTTAATTCTCGAGTGCTGCAGCTCCACGTTGCTTGGTTTAGTGGAGGTGTTGCTTGATTCATTTAATGAAGATGGCTTGATTTAATGAAGACAGGCTCTTTGTTTATCTTGGGAGCACTAAAAGTTTTCCATCCTGGATTCATGTCTGGCTGGAATTCTGGAGTTGATACCTTTAACCCAGTGCTCGTGTTTCAAACATCTTGGCTGAGCGATTTTTTTTGGTTGGTTTTTTTTTACCTTTTAGCTGCAAGCAAGCTTTTCCTCTGCCCAGTTACATCTAATACAATGTCTGTGGTTGTTCTCCAGTAGGGAGAAGGGTGATTTCTGGATTCACACTTCCCTGGAAATAACAAACTCTTGGTTTCCAGGGGTCCTGGAGGAAGCCAGGTTTTTTGGCATCGACTCGCTGATCGAACACCTCGAAGTGGCCATTAAGGTAATTGGTTTGAACACCTGAACGCCCCTGCCCTGCTCTTCCAGGGGATGTGTGATTTAGTGCTGTCTGTGTCAGCTGTTGAACAACATTCCCAACAGAATTCCCAGCCGGCTGAGGATCACTCTCCCATCTCCCGGAAGGAGTTTGTCCGGTTCCTGCTGGCAACGCCCACCAAGTCCGAGCTGCGCTGTCAGGTGAGGACACATTCCCCTTCCTAACAGAAAACTGGGAATTCCTTCCCAACGTCCCATCTAAACCTCCCTCTTTTAGCTTAAAACCTCTGCCCCTTGTGCTGTCCCTCCCTGGGTGGTTTGGGCTGCATTGCTGCTCTAGGGGGAAGCTTTCCTGGAGGAGCAATGGGTTGAAATGTAAAATAAACCCAGGACAGTTTTTGACAGCTTTGCATTTACATTTCAGTGGTCTTGAGTAGTAGAATAAATGGTCTTGTGTGTTTTTATCTGGATAGAATCATGGAATGGTTTGGGTTGGGAGGGACCTTAAAGGTCTTCTCATTCCACCCCCTGCCACGGGACACCTTCCACTGTCCCAGCTTACTCCAACCTGGCCTTGGACACTTCCAGGGATCCAGGGGCAGCTTCTCTGGGAATTCCATCCCAGCCCTTAACTTTGTGTCCTGACCTACCCTCTCTTCCCTTCTGTAACCCTGATTTTTTTGGGGATGGGGTGGGTTATTCCTTGGGCTTTCCAGGGCCTGAATTTCAGCGGAGCGGATCTTTCCCGCCTGGATCTTCGCTACATCAACTTCAAGATGGCCAATCTGAGCCGCTGCAACCTGGCCTACGCCAACCTGTGCTGTGCCAACCTGGAGAGGGCTGACCTGTCAGGCTCTGTGCTGGATGTAAGAGCTGCTGCAGCTTTGGGAGGGCTGGGCTGGTGGCACCAAACAGGAGCTGGGACGGACAGAGCGGCGGAAAACGCCGAGCTCTTGGATGTATCCAGGAGTTGTTCCATTTACCGAAGCTTTTAGGCTTCCTCTCAGTAATGATTTGATGGGATTCACTCCCAAAACAGTGGTTCAGTGTTATTCAGATGTTATTTTGATTGGTTTTGGTGGTGTTCTGCTGGCTCTCACCGCCTGCTGTCCGTGCCAGTTTGCCAACCTGCAGGGGGTGAAGATGCTCTGCTCCAACGCCGAGGGAGCGTCCCTCAAAGGCTGCAACTTCGAGGACCCCTCAGGCCTGAAAGCTAATCTGGAAGGTGAGAAATCTTTTCCCTGTGAACCTGTGCCAACTGAAGCCTGTGTTTGTACATTTACATGGCCCATGAAGGGTCCAGCTGTGGTTGGTGCCACCCTGAGCAGGGCTGAGTGTGTGACCATCTCGTGTCCTCCCCTGATTCACACAGCTCTTGAGGCAGCACCAGGGTGGAGCTGCTGTGTTTCTTTCCCTTTTTTTCCCCTCACAGAACTACTTTCTGTGTGTGTGTGCCAGGTGCCAACCTGAAGGGAGTGGACATGGAGGGCAGTCAGATGACGGGAATCAACCTGCGAGTGGCAACGCTGAAAAACGCCAAACTAAAGAACTGTAACCTCAGGGGAGCAACGCTGGCAGGAACTGACCTGGAAGTGAGTTAGGATTCATTTTACACCCTGTTCCTTCAGATCCTGCAGTCAGCTGGTAATTTGGGGGGGATTGCTGGCTTTTGGCTGACCTCTCCAGCTTCAGGCTAGAGCGGAGTTAAGGTAAATGTAGTCCAAGTAAAGCTTCAAACAGAGTTCTGGGTGCATTCCACTGACACTTCTTTTCTTCTTTTGCCCTTCAGAATTGTGACCTGTCGGGTTGTGACCTGCAGGAAGCCAATTTGAGGGGCTCTAACGTGAAAGGAGCCATCTTTGAAGAGATGCTGACCCCCCTGCACATGTCCCAGAGCGTCAGATAGGGAAGAGAACCTCAACGATGACGAGGAAGGAATCGGAACGTTTGTCGTGACTTTCTTCACCTCCTCCCCTTCCTGAGTTAGAAGGAATGGTTGTTTTAGACAACTTCCATTTGCAGTAGTGCCTAAGTAGACTCTTCTTGATCACTTTTAGGGGAGGGGAATTTTTGTTTCAGAGGTGGAAACAGAGAGTTTCTCCCTTTGTGAACAGAGTGTGAGGAAAGGGGTTGGTTTGGGGGGGAGGGTTCAAGACTTTCATTGTTCAGCATTGCCTCACTTTGGAATGCATTTTAATTTATAAAGCACAATATATGCAATTCTATTTATTAAATCTGTAGCTGCAATATGAATAGAAGAGGTTATTCCAGTAGAGTAGCAAACAAAAGTCCAGGTTTACAGGTAGACAAGTGTATTTACAGTCAGTGTCTTCATTCCTGCAGGGTGTCAGTGCCAGGGGGTGCTCACACAGGTGCCCACAGGATCTGTTCAGGTCTCTGCTGGGGTGGAAACAGTGGGGAACTGTCCTCAGAGGTCAGAAATTGTGTTTAAATGCAGGTTTAGAGCAGCTTTATCACCTCAACTGTGCAGAGGAAGCTGCTGCCCTGCAGGGACCTGCCCACACCCTGGATTGAGTCACCCCTGGAACATCCCTGGGCAGAAATGGCATGCCTTGGTTAATCCTCTCCAAATGAGTGTGAAATTGCACTATCAGTCAATCAATCACAGCTGGGAAGAAGAGTTCCCCTGCTTCCACATGGCCTGGCCACTCCAGCTTGGAGTTCCTGGAGCTTTTCCCTTCTTTGTTGGGAATTCAGTGCCCAGAGGGAAACACAGAACTGTCCCCAAAGCAGAGAGAAGCTCTGGGGCCACAGCACCTGCTCTCCCCCCTGCTCTCATCCCTTCAGCAGATGAAGAAATGGCCCTGTTTCCCCTCGGTGTACTATGCAAATATTCCTTTAAAGCATCAGCATCATCCCTTGGCCCAGCCAGACCCACTCTGGGCTGCTTAAAAGTGGCTGTAAAAACATCTTGCCCCTTTCCATCCCCACTTCCTTCCCCCGTGGGGGAAAAAAAGCAGGGAGAGCCGGTTTTTGTGTGAGCTGTGCAGGGCAGGAGCCTCAGTGCAGTTCTCAACTAACATTTCTTTTAGACACAATCAAAAAAAAAAAAAAAAAAAAAAAAAAAAAAAAAAAAAAAAAAAAAAAAAAAAAAAAAAAAAAAAAAAAAAAAAAAAAAAAAAAAAAAAAAAAAAAAAAAAAAAAAAAAAAAAAAAA